GTACCGCGTCCCCGTTCCCTCCCTCCCTCCCTCCCTTCCTCCCTTTCTCATCTGTACGGACAAGGTCCAGCAGGACGACCGCAGCCCGAGCTCGGCGGCGTCCCCTGGAGGATCGCTGCCCCCTGCCCGCCCGGCGAAGGGCAGAGAGTCTGACACACGTCTCGCGCGAGCCGTGCTGCGCTCTCCCCCTCTCCCCTCCCTCGCTCCTCCCCCCGCTCCACCTTCTCTCTCCCTCCCTCGCTCCACCTTCTCTCCCTCTCTCTCCCTCTCCCACTCTCTCTCCCGACAGCTCGTCCGATATCAGGGAGTCTGGGGATTCGCGGGTTTATTGGTCCCCAACGCCCACGGCCCCCACGGCCCCCACGGCACGGCGGCCCTGGCTTACCCCCGACGTGGTCGGCTCTCCGGTCGGCGAGAGAATGGCAGGGGAGGCCGTGCGGGAGGGCGAACAGCGGAGAGCGAAAAAAAGAGAGAAAGAATGTGCGAAGAGAGAGGTGGCTGGGAATCATATCAAGCGTGGCGAAGCCCCGGCAGCGTGGCAGGGGACCGCCCAGAAAGTACATCGTCGTCCACCCGCCGCTTATTTTCTCAGCGCGATTCAGTCGGCGACGCGTTGCGGGGAGCGAGGCGCCTGCGAGGCTCGGGGTAGGCCAGCCCGCGGTACACGCGCGCGTCGCCTGCAGGGTGCTGCCTACCCACCAGGCGCTCCCACAGCAGAGGTAGGCCCCGGACTTGTTTGGGCGTACAGGCTCGTGACGGGGCGTGCTTTACTGGGCTGCTGGGCCTACTCGGGATGACCCCTAAGGCCAGCCCAAAGGCTGGGCTGCTCCTCCTGATGGCGGGACGCCCCCGCAGCTGCAGGACCGCGGCGGAGGGTCTCCTTGATGCGAATAAAAGTGCGTGTAGACCGGACCCGTCCCGTCCCGCCCACACCGCCGCCGCCCGTCGAGCGGTGGTGCTCCCTCTGCCGACGCGCTAGAGGCATTACTCAAGGGAAATTAGGGGGTAGTGTTGCAGGGGGAGGGGGGCGCTCTGCCGAGGGGAGGGGGGAGACGGGCTACACCTTGACCTCGTTCTGCACGCAGGCCAGAGAGAGGCCTCCTCCTGCTGCCGGACAGAGGGCTGCACTGCCTTGGGGAGGAGGGGGGTGGGGTGGGGTGGCGTCAAACTTTTGCGACAATAACAGATAAGGTCCTGGGGTGGTGGTGTGCGATATGGGATGGGATGGCACGGAATCCCGCGTGACTTTGTGCACCCGGAACAACGGAAGGCCGCGGGAGAAAACTGTTGGGAAAGAAAAATGGACGGATGTATGTATATACCCCAGAGAAAAACCCTGTAAATGTGGTGTGTGGTGTATTGTTTTTTCGCGTTCTCTCACCAGGAAGGAGGCCGGAGGCTACTTGCCGAAACTATAGTTTGTCGTTGACAATAACAGAAGTCGTCAGCACAGAGAAGCTGCGTGAAGACGATACTGTGTCAGCCGAGCAGCTGAGCGACAGCCCCTTTGTGGGCTGGTGCGACTAGGGATTTTATTTTCCAGATAAGTATTATTCAAGAAGTTTTCTTAGAAAATGTCGAAATCTGTTCTTTGAAAGGTCCATTATATTCACCTTCTTCTGGGAATACTATTTCGCTTTTCAATTTTTCTTCTTGAAAAAAGAAGAGAGCGAGAGAGAGAGAGACCAGAGAATATGTCGTATTCGCCGTCCTCGGAGCTCCGGCAGCTCCCGCAGCTCCTCCCCCCTCTCTCTCCCTCTCTCATGGTCGTCGAAAGACGCCGTGAGAAGCAGGAGGACCAACGATGACGGATGGCTTGGTCCACACAGACTTGGTGCCAACAGCTGACAGGGTATTGTTGGAGCGCCCCGCCCTCAGTGTGGGACTCGTGACTGTTATTATTGTCGTTCAAACTTTTCTGTTTTTATTCGTTGCCTTCGCGTCCTGCGTATACACCCTATAACGCCTTTACTTTTGTCAGTGTGTTTCTTTCTTCAAACTTTTCTCTTCTATAGGCGTAGTGAGGTGCTGAATACAACAAAATAAATAAAATAAATAATCATATTTCTCGCCGTTGCGATGCACCTTCCTCTCTCGGCGGGCGAGCCTGCCCAGCCATCCCCATCGAGTTCAATGTAGCGAATATAGTTACTTCTGCAGCCCCGCCGCCGGAAGTCGAGGGTGGGGGGCTGGTGCACTGCACCGCTCTGGTCAAAAGCGAGGCGAGGCGGAGGCGAGCATAATTCAAAAAGGGCTGGTCTGCTGACAACACGGCAAATCAAAAGTTTTAATGATAAAATAAAAATTGCAAGATGTGATATAACGATCGATATTTCGGTGCGGGATAAACTAGCTAATATTGCCTCCCATCAATCATGGGACTTACAAATTGGATTTA